GTTTTGAAGCCTAGTTATTCACTTGTACCACTTTGGTTTGAAAATTTCATAATATTCGAATTCTCACTCTCTAGATGTGGTACCACTTTTCTTTAATTCGCTTATCAGCCCCACTTTTTATAGTATTAGTGGGATTTAAAATTTCTTTCCTCACGCCTCGCCCCGGAAGGCACCGCCATACCGAGAATCGGTCCTCAACTCGTCCGGACAGGGATAAAGAGGTTAATGTCCAAGTTCTCCTCCGATGCAGGTATAATTTTACTATTTTAGTATTTTGAATTGATGAGCTTCAATGAAGGACATAAGAGTACTGAAGGTGAACTAATGGAAACTATGATTCATAATTTGATTTTTTTTTCTTTTTCTGGTCTTATACTTTATGGCTTTTACAATGTGAAAAATGTAAATTATGGAAAGGGAAAAGAAAATTAGCGAAAAGAGAAGTTCGTCAAATATTTGATACACTTGAAGCACAAAGCGCTGACTACAGCATGAAAGTGACATTCTTGGAGCTTTATAATGAAGAAATAACTGATTTACTGGCTCCTGACGACAATTCAAGATCTGCAGCAGTAGAAGATAGGCAAAAGAAACCTATTTCACTAATGGAAGATGGAAAGGGTTGTGTGGTTGTAAGAGGCCTTGAAGAAGAGAGGTACCGTACTTTTAGTTTTCGCATTATATGTGCATTAGGATAGTTACTAAAGATATCTTAAACATTTTTTTTTCCTTTATCTGGGCTTTCAATAGGTTTTCTAGTAGTTTGTCATTAAGATTGTTAACGTGGCTGTTCTTTTTGATTGAAATAATGCAACTCTTTTAGGGCCGTGCAAGAGAAGCATGAGAGATAAATAAGAGCAACTCACAAGAGCGAAACGAAGAAGACGAGGATGAAGATGACGATGCGGACAATTTAGGAGATTAAAATATCTATTTTTGTTTTTTTATTATCAATACTTTTTTGTATGGATTGATTAGTTTACTTTTTAAAACTTATTCTATTATTGTATTTACTTTTTTATATGAATCTTTTATTAGCAAATATCAATTTTATTGAGTTTTTTATTATTATATTTTCTTCTAATTTATATATTAATAATTAATATTATTAAGAAATTAGGGAAAAAAGGAAAACATTTTTTGTGACGATATATCTGAAAAAAGTCGTCACAAATAGTCTAAATTACTAGCGACGACATCTCAAAATTTTGTCGTCGCAAATATGTTATTTATGTCAACTTTTTTGGGGTGACCAATTTGCGACGACGTGTCATTGCAAATATAATATTACCGACGACAACGTACTCTTTTGCGACGACATTCGGTCGTCGCAAATAGACTTTTTTGTTGTAGTGAACAAATAGCATTGCATTGAAAAATATTTTTTGCACTCAAATATTAAATTTATAGTTAACACATCAAGTGTGGTTACCTGGTTTTTTCTGTTTATTTTTTAATAAACATTCTAACAGTATTTAAGGATAGTTATAAAAAGAAAAAGCGTCCTAACGTAGAAATTCCCAAGTAAAAAGGGATTGAAAAGAAACAAAAGGTGGAAGCATGCACTAGCTGCAGTTGCGAAACAAAGAGAATCCACACGTACAACCCAACTGGACTGAGTTTTGCAGATCTATTCAAAGCACTCGATCGATTCGTATCCCTCAATGTTCGTCGCATTGTTTGTGCCTTTTTGACTCACAGATCGATCATTATTGGCGCACTTTGTTTAGAATAGAAACTAAAATTATTAATCGTTAGAATATGGTGAAGTCATGATGTACTAACTGACAACCAAAAACAAAAAACAAAAAACAAAACAAAAAGAAAAAGACAAATTGAGTCACGGCTACCCATTTGTTCTTCACTTCTTTGGTTCAATAATGTAGGACAGATAAGACACACACATATATATATATATATATATATATATATATGAATGTAGCTTTCCCTTGAAATTTCATAATGCAAGATAGGATACTGACAGAAGAGTTAAAAATCGATCATTTCATAATCTAGTGGAATTTGAATTTTTCAAAGTACATTTTGTTTTGTCAAAATGTCCAAATGTTTCCTCGGATGATTATTTTTTTTCCCATAACATGACTCACTAAAGAAAATAAATGAACTCATTTTGTTCAGTCAATCACATTTAATTGGAACCGTGCATAAAAAATTATTCCACATCCTATAGCGGTACAAACTTTTTTGAAAAAAAAAAAAAAAAAATTGTGGGGCACATCCTTTATCTTTGGATAACTGTGCTGACTGTTTCACCTAATTGGTTTGGTATATATACGTATGATTTATAGAGTCGTTTATGTTTTTCATACATATATGTTAAGATTTATGGTCGGTTTTGTTTTCTTCTTTATCATGTCATCTTTTTTTATCTTAAAATGAAATATGAAAGGCCCGATTATGTTCTCAAAACCATTTGAACAAATACAATTAGAACAAAAATTGATCAGCTGAATAATCTTTTTCTTTTAATCGTCTCTTTAATTATGCTTTGCTCAATTAATTTATAACATAATATTCAATTGATCCTCGTACGTTCCTTGATGCTTCTATGCTGATATCATGGTAGAGATGTCGTTAAATATAAGGTTTTACAAATTTTGTCCAAGTGACGAGGGTTTTACAAATTTTGTTCGCATTGTATTATAGCTTAGTAGAAAAGTTATTATTTGAATGTCAACTAGAAATAAAGATATACTAATGTCCAGCTCATGATGAGAAAATGGCATTTATTTAATCAAGACAACACAAAGCCGCATTTTCCTCCAATAATTAGAAGAAAAATAATAAAAGTAAGCACGTTCGTTCGCTTTAATATTAGTGGTTATAAACATTGTAAAGTGCTGGCGTGCTTGATTACGCAGTACTTTTTGCAACAATTAAAATAGAAACCCTCAGAACTTTGAATTCCAATATTTTATTGCTAGCTAATTTATAGTCTTGGAAATAATTTACAAAAATTTATGTTAGCATGTTAGTTCTATTTTTTGTTCCAGCATACTCTCCAATAATATTATATAATGTTTCTCCAATAATATTATAGTATATATATATATACTAATTAAAAATACAGTATCAATTAAAATATTATGTCATATAAATTAAAATAGGTCAGTTAATTTTTTTTTAAGGTAAAAATTTCATACAACTAAAATGTCATACAGACACTAATACTAATGTAGATAATTCTGTGATACACAATACAAAATACTCGATAAAAACCAATTCCATCAGGAAATTCTGATGAGCAAAGAGAAGACGACGCAAGACGAGACCCGATACTGGAAAAATTTCTCGACACATTAATTTGAGCACGCATAAGACTCTTTTTGAACACTACAATCAATGGAAGCTTTTGATCCATCAAGAACATGTAACGTGTAGCTCTAAGGCCACCAACATCTCCGTCTAAACTCATAGCTAGCAGAACTTTTAACACGCTAAGACCGAAATCTGGCGGACAAAAACCAAACGCAAATGGTGGAAGAACCACCTTTATTATTACAAAGAAAATACTAAAACTATGTGGCGAAAATATCAACGCCTTTATTAAACAAAAACATAAACAACTTAAACCACAAGTACGATTGTCGCAAGCTTTCAATGATAGCATAGCAGACAAGATGACCATCAGGGTAGGAAGAGCGCTTCGAGAGACAATTGGCGAAACCAATGAGATGCTTTCAAACAGCATAACGTTAAACACATGTGCCACCACTGCAACAGTCGGAGCCGACACCACCACCGTTCAAAACAAAATCCCAAAAAAGTACAGCCACCAGACGAGAAATATGCCAAAAAAGTCTCCAATCCGTTCTGAATTCATCCTCTAAACGAAATGAGATCCGCCCCAATAAAACTACCCCGCCGAATACTACCACTGCCATCGAAAAGCCCACAACGATACGAGCCTTGTAACTAATTTTTAGGGACATAAGTCCAGTGACGCGCTCGGAGACAGTTTCAGAACTCCGACAAACTCATTCTCTCTTTCCTCTCTCGCATGGTTTAAAATATTTCAATTAACACAACATATTAATATTTTTAAAGTGACATGCAAGGGACAAGAACATGCACATAGAAATAAGGGATCGTATATAAGAAATGTTTTATCACAAAAAAAAAAAGACCAGAAAAGAATATTAATATTATTGAGTTATTTTCCCTTTCACATTCATGAATCAAGGCGCATGATATATATGTATGACCTCATATCGGTATTCTTAAACTAATTTTAACCAAATAACATTTCCTTTTATTCTCTCTTAAATGGCAAAACTACAAAATAAATCGAAAGTCAACGGGTGAACTTGTAATTTCACATAAAAAGAGAATAGTTATATTCCACCATAACAGGGCAGCTGATGATCATTGATCATGATGTCAAAAGAAATAATAATGAGCACATAGACGTAACACTTATTATATATTGATTGGCATTCTCATTGTACTAACAGAGCCAGGTCAAGCAAACTGCATGACAAAGTTCATTGGCAAAATTCTCTTGAGCATATAGCCAAAAATATAATGGCCAAAATAGCCTTGGGAACCACCCGAGAGGCTGCTCAGCCTGACTGCATTAGAGCACTCATCGTTGAGTTCATCGTCACCTTCCTCTTCGTCTTTGCCGGCGTCGGAACCGCCATCACTGCCGGTAATTATGAAAAGGCCTTTAACTTTTTTTTTCTTTTTTTTGGGTATATTTTGTGATTTTTTGGACTCAAAAACTCCATTAATTATTGATATTTGGTGGATGCAAGTACTTGCAGATAAACTAGTTTTAACTTTTTTTTTTTCTTTTTTTTGGGTATATTTTGTGATTTTTTGGACTCAAAAAATCCATTAATTATTGATATTTGGTGGATGCAAGTACTTGCAGATAAACTAGGGGGTGGTGCACTAGTGGGACTATTTGCTGTGGCCGTGGCACACGCGCTGGTGGTGGCCGTGACGATATCCGCTGGCCACATTTCTGGTGGTCATCTCAACCCTGCTGTCACTATTGGCCTCCTCGCCGGTGGACACATCACCGTCTTCCGGTCTCTGCTCTATTGGATCGATCAATTGTTGGCATCTTCATTGGCTTGTTTTCTTTTACAGTACCTTACTGGAGGATTAGTAAGTCCAAATATTTATAATTTTGAAAATATTAAAGTTAACACATCTATTATTATTGATTCTTTAATGGATAGTCATCTATAAAACACATTTATAAATTAGAGCTCCAACTAATCCAAGTACCTAATCAATTCTCAAGAAAATTATTTATCAAAATAAGATTAAATGATGCTGATGATTCAACGCTATACATTAACAGAGAGTGGGTCCCACAATATAGGACTCATAAATTGGGAGCAATCTTTGTTAATTGTGGTTCTCAACGCGAATTTTAATATTTTTATGCATTTTTCTAAAGAATTATTTAAGATGACGTTTGTTATAACGATTATTTCTAGTTTAGAATTATGGTTCTTAATTATGCTATAATGTTCTTCTCTTATAAAAAATTTAAATTTCAAAAATTAGAATCATAAACCATAATTTTGAACCTATCAATCAAATGTCACCTAAGTGATTGCTGGCTAGGATTAATTAAGCAATTTGCATAGTAATTTCCTAGTTAAGTAGTATAGAATTGTTACTTGTCGCTTCTCCTCATATTCAATGACCAAAACAGTCATATACTGTGGTGATCATTTTGTTGTTTTAATTCCAAGCCAACAAATTGTTAAAAACTTTCTTATTAAGTTAAACCAATGAATGTGTTATTCATATTTTCGTCCACTTATTAGGTTTTGTCTTTTTTATTTGATAACAGAGTACTCCAATTCATTCGCTGGCAAGTGGCGTAGGCTACTTCCAAGGAGTGATATGGGAGATCATCCTCACATTTTCCTTGCTCTTCACCGTCTACGCTACTATGGTGGACCCCAAGAGGGGAGCTCTTGATGGGCTGGGCCCAATGCTTACCGGATTCGTCGTCGGAGCCAACATTCTTGCCGGCGGTTCCTTCTCCGGGGCATCAATGAACCCAGCAAGGTCGTTTGGGCCGGCTTTGGTGAGCTGGGACTGGACCGACCACTGGGTTTACTGGGTTGGGCCCCTGATCGGTGGTGGGCTTGCTGGGTTCATCTATGAAAATTTCTTCATCATCAGATCTCACGTTCGTATTCCCACTCATGATCAGGAAGATCAATCTTATTAATTTTCACGGCTTTGAATTAACAAGTTGAAGTTGAAGTACTGTTTTTATTAATGTTTTATTATTCTACGTGTTTTCTTTCCACTAGGCTGGGCTCCAACCCACCACCGTGAAATATTCGGGTCCGTCTTTTTTTTTTTTTTTTTTTTTTTTTTTTTTTTTTTTTTTTTTTTTCTCGTACGCACGTAGGTGCATGTATCCAGCTAGACCTAGTCGCTTTAAGACAGTTTAATTTCAATAAAATATTATTTCTTTTCCGGAAATTGGTGGTCCCTTACTCCCATGTGATATATCATGCAGAAGACTATTATATATAAGTATTCTATTTTATCTCTTTACATGTGGATGGAGTTTATGAAGTTATAAGCATATGTTGGAGTTTATATATTAACTTATAATTGTGTTTTGACGTTTACAAAACTTGTAAATGACAAAGCATGCATGTTGGGTGTCTTTTCAAATTTCAATATGCACAAAAGTCTACCCGATATTTAAATCGGAATTGAGTTAAAACTCTACACTCATAAATTGGTGGGATCCAACCTATTTATATGATGGGCTCACTTCATGTGAGTAGTTGAGTTTTAATCCTAAGGGTGAATACCATTTTTGTTAAATTAGTAGAAAAAGTTATATCACAAGCCAACTAGATATATTGGGCGGTTAAGCCTATCCTAACTATTTTGATTGATGAGAAAAGAGCAAAATGGTAAATATGAAAAGATTAGGGGAAACATGATAATATGATATTGCTGATGTCCGTAATGTCTATGATGATTGAATATGATCAAATAACCCTACTTTTTATTGATAAATTGAGGAGAATAGACAACTACTATTTAAGTTTGCCCAGACATCCTAATTAGGTTAGCACCCCTCTTAAAACCTATTCTCTATTTTGATAAAATAATCTGATTTTCCTTATTTCATCTATTTTGTTTTTATGTGTGTTTGTATTGGTTTGGTTTGGTTTGTATTCTTTTAATTTTATTTTTTAAATTTTAAATGAAATAATAAACATTTTTGAATTTAAGGTGCTATTCTACACATTTATGTTAATGGCCCTAATAAAACGAGATAAATCAATAAGAATTAGGAAATGAACATGTCTATAAATATAACGTTTTTAAAAAAATTACATATGACTAGAATGTTGAAGATAATTATTAATTAGAAGGTATTCTTGGAGTTTATATTTACAATAAAGTATTTAGATCAAAAAATTTCTCTTCTATATATGTCTTCATCGAAATATTTTCTATTGAACAATATTGTTTTCTTGGCGTGATGATTTAATTAAGCTATCACAAAGCTGGAGTTACATGCATTTAGTTCCCTACAAAAAAAGAAAAAAGCATTTAGTTGCGACAACATACTCGATAAAAGCGACTATGGGGCGGCCTCTTATTTATTCCTTGGCGTGAATCCGGTAGTTAACCAAGCTGGCTAGTTCTGGTCATCATTGGAACTTTTCTCTGCCTCGTTCTCTCTCTCTCATACGTAATATTTTTTTTAAAAAGACAAAAATAAAACGAGCAATATGCAATTGTGCATGTAACAACAATATTATTATACATTTGATCGTTATGTTTACTTAATTAATTACCATATTGCTCTGCCGGATTCTATAGAGAAAATGAACTAGTACTATATGCTAGAACTAATAGGTTCTCGATTAAATCAATACAACAATCAAATTATTAAACCCAAAAACACACTATTTAATTGAATTTTGAATCATATAGAAAAGTGACGGTTCTAGGATTACCTCCTCCATTTGGCAAAGGAACAGCGTCACTCATGGTCGTCAGAAATCAAGCTCAATAACCTGAGAAAATCAAAGGGGGGCTTGAAGTATTTTGAACTCTTCTCTTCTCTACCTCTCTCCACCCACACAGACCACACACACCTACAGGGGGAACAAAAAATCTCACCCATTGGTTTTGTCTGCCACATTAGGTAAAATGGGCCTTAACCAAAAAATGTTGATAGAGAAGAAATTTGGCCTGACCAAATATTTAGAGAGAGTAAATCCAAGGACCTCAAACACATTAAAATTTAAATTGTTCATCCCATTTTGACCATTGTTATAATACCATGCATAAACTATATTATAATATAATTGTCTATAAAACCATACTCTAATTTTGTGACATATTTAAGTGAATTAATAATGAATTGTGCTAGTCCATACAAATATTCCAACACTATATATATAATCAACCAAAAAAACTATCACGGTGATCCAATGGAGTTGTGCCTTTCCAATATGCCCTAAAACCTTAAAACCCTAAATGATATAACCGGCCATCGATCTACTGAAAATAATGTTGACCTAATTGACGCTTCTTAATCTCCACCCACGACGGCGACAAAACAGGGCTCGTCCCCGTCATCGTCTCGTACTCCATCCCCGCCGTCGCCGACGCTGCCGTCTTTCTCGAATCATTCCTCTCAAAGTCATAATATGCGCACACCATTATCCTGTCGGATGTAGTCTCCTCATCGGGTAAAACCTTGACCCTCCAGACCTTGAAAGTCTGGTCCAAGCTCGCACTGTAAACCAGAAACCCCATCATCACCACTTTCTCGACCTCCAAACAGGCCGCTAAGCACTTTACCGGCCCTCTGTGCCCGTCCAACACGGCCAAACACTCGTGCAAACAGCTTCCTTCCTCTCTCCTCCATATCCGAATCGTCGTATCTTCCGAACCGCTGAACACCATCTTCTCAACCGCCACCAGGCAAAGCACGGAAAATCTATGGCCTTGTAAGAACCCGCCATGGTTGAACCTGTAAGAAGTTCTCTCTCTTTCCCAGAAGTTTATCGTCCCGTCCGAAGAGCCCGAATATAGAAACCCAGAACCGAAAGTAAATGGTGAAGAAGTTGAAGAAGAAGAAGTAGAAGAAGAAGAAGATGACGATAAGCTTAAAGCTATGGCGTTCACTGGGGAAGGTTGGAATCTGAGGATCATCGTTAGAGTGTAAGAGTTATCTCTGTAAATCCTTCTCCAGATCTTCACCGAGCCGTCCGATGAGCAGGTGAAAACACAGCCGTCCTCTTGGTTGACCAGAATGTCGTTGACTTTGTCCTCGTGGGCCAAGAACGAGTCAACGCATTTTCCGCTCGAGACTCGCCAGGCTTTGACAGTCCTATCGTGGGAGCCGGTGTAGAGAATCCCTTCCGCATGATAATACGCCAAGCACGAAACACACTCCTTGTGGTTTCGTTTGGCGTCGTTCTTGGCTCTCGAGAACAAGGTGGAAAACGACAGCGAGCTTGTTCTCGGGAAGGAACAAACCTTTTTGAAGCTAGCGAAGTTGTTGAAGTTCCATACTCGGATTTTGTTGTCTTTGTGGCACGTGAAAAGCGTGTCCCCGTGGGCTAAGATTGCCCTGACCTCGCCGAATTTGGCCTTGAGAAGCCCACGCTCGGTGCAGTCAGGTTGGCGCCACGCGCGGATGCGGCGGCTGTCGGAGCCGGTGAAGACGACGCCGTTTGAGACGGCGATGGAGTGGATGGTGCCGTCGTGGCGGTGGAGGGAGGCGATGCAGTGGTAGAGGAGGGAAGGGGAAGGGGTTTGGAGGGGAGAGCAAGTCCACGGTGATTCTGGGCTTGGCGGCGGCAGCATTCTGGGCTGGGCCGGGCTTGCTGGGACTGGTGGGCTGAACTGGCCCAACTCAAGGTACTCTTGGAACTCAGCGTCGTAGATTTCATCGTGGTTGAAGTTGTGGGTTGGGGTTTGATCTAGTGAAGCGTGAGTACTACTTCTCTCTTCATAGATGATGCTTAGGAGAGAGTTTTGGTGGTAGAGTTCCATGAGAGAGAGAGAGAGAGAGAGAGAATGGAAAGAGAAAAGGAAGGGGTTTATACGTAGTGGATTAATAGAGTATAGTTAATATTAGATGTAGATTAATGAAGCTAGTTATAAGGTGGTTGGACTGATAGGTGTGGTCTTAGTGGCGCCATTGAAGTGGTGAACCAAGGAAAGAGCTGGTTTGTGACATAAATGCCCTCCTTTCCTTCCACGCATTAATACGGTGGTTCCTAACATTCATACACACAGATCTTTACCACTTTTTTCTTTATATCAATTACTTCAGCAACCTGGTTTGGTACCATTGGTAAGATTCGTACTTTTGGGTTTATTTACGTTGTCAGTTTGTCCGCTTTCCTCACTAGAACAATCCAAATGACAACTTGGATTTATATTATTATAAGATGTAACTATATGAAGTTGTTTTTAATGGTTACGTTTGTATGATCGGTATATTTGGTATAAAATGTACACGCACACTGCGTGCCTGTGCTTTTCATGATTCGATCTGCAGACTAATTTTTGTTATGATGAGTATTAATATTGTCGGTTCTATATAAGGATCAATACATTTTTTTAGAAACTAAGCTTCCACATACTTCTCAAAATTTCGATGTATTTTAGAGACCTCAATAGATATATATATATATATATATATTTATATTTATATTTATATAGTGGTAACTAGACATTACAGTGGCATATTTAACATAAGACTCCTTTGAGTTTCCATAAATGATCCCTTATAATATTGAAGTGCATGGAAGTTAAATTTTCTTTCTTTTTTTTTTTTTTAAATACTTTTGGCAATGATAAATGTATTGTGATATATCAGCTTCTAAAAAAAGAAAAAAAGGCTCGGCTATGTAGACGATATAGATGGAAAAGACCGAACCAAAGAGGGTTATTAGTATCAGCTAAATAATGGCATCCATTTATTATATAGGGCTATCACATCTATATTTTTGTCTGTCATATTATGTGATCTAGCAATATCAGTTGGTGACATTTTGATGAGCAAGCAGGACACTCATTAATGGACTGGTTATTAATAAAAGATTACTTGTTATGTGCATATATGTAAGAATTGTAAGAATTGCTTAATAATATTGCTCGCCAACAAATTCAATATCTATTATGATTTATTATATGTAGATTGTATATAGCTAGTTTAATTATTGTTACCTCAATTGAAGTTCATATATAATATTATATATATATGGATTAATGAAGCAAATGAAAGGAGAGAAAAAAAAAAAAAAAAAAAAACAAAGACGAAAAGAAAGAATAGGGGAATAAACAAGGTACACAAGGAAACAACCAAAGCGCGAGAGTTTTTTTACTCCCATTCCACTCCTAACACGACTCATTATTTTTTAGGACTTCATATACTCACTTATAACTTAAAAATCCTATTATCATTCCAAACTAAAAACTGAAATTAAATTTCACACAACACATCTTAGTGCTACTTATTCTAACACTAATCTTATTAATTAGAATGCTTAAATTGTTCATGACATGGGTATGTAAGCCCCGTGAAATCCATATGGAACTCTGCCTGGCAATTGGCTTATCAGAAAACTACTTTGCATCAATCACAAAAACCTGCAAGTTATACATTAGTTAAGAAATTAGTCAGAATGAAAATCATGATTTATAAGTCAACCTAAAATATATAGCAAGATTAACATGAAAAGCAACAAAAACAGTGCCGATTATATTTGGTAATTAATTATTAAAATTACTTGAGATGTATTGGTATCTCCATTGTGAACAAACGTGACGATCCAAACCATCATCCTCTTGAAGGCCTCCTTTATTGGGGACAAAAGCAGCTCCATTGCAAAAAGTGTTCTTCTCAAACATATGATATTCCACTTTTATCACCTCCTCAAACTCTTTTGTACTTGTCTATTTCACATAGAAAGAAATAAATTGTAGTAATTAAGAGAAATACAGGATTATGAATGACTCCTTAATGCTGAAAAATAAGAGGAAAAAAAAAAGTGACTAGAGAATGGCAGAGTCCTTATTTATCGAAGAAAATCTTGTATATGATTGTTCAAAGTGTAGCTTAGCTAGACCTCCATATTTAGCCATATTATCTGCAATATTAATCAGATTTAATAAAGATTAATATATATACCATATAAATAAACAACTTATAAATATACAAAAATATAGATATATCAGTCATTACTTGCATTTGAGTTCGCCGTAAATCAAGGACTTGGGAATATCCAAATTTGTTCTTGGGAATATAATATCATAGGAAAATCCATGGAAATTTCTGTATCAGCAGTGAGGTTTCTCTCACTAACTTCTCCCGTTCGCATGCTCAGTCGCCATTCATAAAGACGATCGTATAATAGTCCCTCTCCAAGTTTGGTGTCAATATTTTTCTTAGTGCTTGGATCTAAATAAAGGTCCTGGCGCATGACTGATTCAAGAGTTCTACAACCCCATACTATAACCTACACATTCTCATAACACGTACTAATGTTAAATCTAGCAACATTAATTAGTATATATATCGTGTGGTTCTAGTAGCTAGCTAGTACTAATTAGTTTTAGCAATCTAAATCATTCTTGTTTTAATGAAATATGTTATATACCGCGATTAATTAAATGAAAGTACTATATTATAAATTTATAATTAATGTTGTTGAGTTATATACGTACCTCGATCATCTCCATCTTCAAAACAATTAAAGATGTGAAATGTCCAATTTGTTTCAACTTTGAACCATTTGATTGAATCTGCATCACCATAGCGTGGCATAACTCCGATCCTTGCATATCCTTCCTTGCTATACTTTATTAATCTACACATTACCACCCCCACACACATATAAGTAGCTATGAGTGACGCTGCTGACGCATGTGTGTATAGGTGTTTGTGCGCGTGTATATTTGTATTGGATTTATAATGAGTACTAAGATATATATACTATTTGCGCATATGTATGTTTGAATGTATGTATATTTGTATTGGATATTTAGTGAATAAGTAAATTGCACCGTTGCATTCTGAGCTATTCGTTCTTTGTACAATAGACCCTATACTTTTAATTTTGGCAAAATGTGTACTCTCTTTAAATTTAGTGGCAATTGAAGTTCAATAACTAATAGTATCATTAAATTGATAGTTCAAGATATAAGATTTAACGTATGTAACATCTTTGCATTTCTTGTGAAAATCTCGTGTCTTAAACTGCTAATTTTATAATGTTCATTAGCTACGGGACCTCAAGTGCTATTGATTTTAAAGTTCATGGTACAATTAGTAAAAATTAAAAGTTTGAGATTCACTATACAAAAAACGAATAGTTTAAATTGCAACAGTACAATTTACTCATATCGCGTTAATTGAGTCACAAAAAATATCATGTTAGTTGAAATGGGCTTTAGCACCATACTTCCTAAACTTCTTGTTTTTGGCGAATTACTCTTTCAACTTTGAATTTTGACATTAAGCCCTTAACCTTATCATATAATTGCATGTTCTCCCAAATTAATAACGATATTTAGACAAAATATCGATGTGCAACTCGGACAATTGACAATTCACTCCTAAATTTATTATGTGTTGGAAAAACATCCCCTAAGTTTTTAATTTTAACAACTAACTTTCTTCTTTTCCATCACCAAATTAAACATGTTATTCGATTTGAGACATGCACATTGCAACAATAGGATAAATTTTAGAAGTTTATTATCAAAATTAAAGTGTAGGAGGTAATTTGTTGAAGTACAAAATATTTAGGGAAAAAGTGAGAAAAGTCTATTTAATTAAATACTCATGGACGTCCACAGAAAAGTCTCCTTTTGACGATGTCGGATTTGGATAAAAAATGTGTTTTTCTGAATGGAAACGGACCAACATACAAGAAAATTCCTTCGTTTTTGGGCAAATTCCTTCATTTAGGCCTCCAAAGGGGTTTTTTTTTTTCATTTTTAGTAATTTCTGTTTTTGTAATAGGTTGACCTAGGAAATTTAGATTCCAATTTTGATTGTGTTTCCTTTTTCCTTGCATCTAATAGTTTCTGATTTAGTTTTCAGTTCATAATTTTCCTTTTTTGGAAAAATACGTATTTTTTCAATATTTTAATTATAGAATAGGTTAGTTGTTTTGCCTATTTATATGGACGCCCTCTTATAATGAAAACCAGTTCAGTCGAATAAAATTTCAGAGTTTTTCTCAAATATTCTCTCTTCCCAAATTCTGGTATTATGTGTGAATCAACGGTTTTTAAACTAATTTTCCTAATATTCTATGTGAATCAACAAGTTAATTGGTTACCCTTTTATTTTATTTTCATCTTTTTCTTTAACCAAGCTTCCGCTACATCAAAGAGTATCTTGAAATTTAGATGACAAGTACACAAGCATAAGAACTCACTTATAAAGACCAAACTAATATTAGAAAGAAGGGCCATTCTTATGGCCTGATCCACAAGGTCAAACTTGCGGTCCAAAATCTAAATGCCATGAAATGGTCTGATCTAGTTTGATTTTCAGAAAAATACATGGTTTGTCATAGTTTTTTACAGACCTATTATCTATGTCATTTTAAATAATTAAGTGTCATTATGCATTTAGTTTCTCTTTATTAATTGAATGGCATTGTTTATTTTTTTAGTGTAGTAACATAAATAATATTTATCATCTTGAGCGGTAATTATGGTTTTTTCCCTTGATTTCCTTTAATACAAAAGTCTATATGGTCTGGTCTTGAATCTTGATTTTGAGTTTTACAGATCATCTAGACGGTCCGGTCTGACCAAGCTAGTAGTTTGGGACCAAACCAGACTGTACACGACCTTAATGAGAAGGACTACATGTCAATGAGAAGATCAGCTCGGTGGCCTATCAACAACACGCACGCTTAATCCTGACATTTAGAACAATATTAACATTGTTGTCTTTTCTCAGGTTTAATAGCTATAAATTAAAGAAGAATACATAATCTGTGATTTCGTACATCTTTCCAAAATACTTGTGCTGATCATAGGTATGTTATATTGTGGCTGATATGAAAGCTCCGTGAAATCCATATGGAACTCTGCACGGCAACGTAAATTTGGCAACTGGCTCACTAGAAAACTTCTTTGTACTAATAACAAGTACCTGAAAATGTCAAATTATAATTAAAATAGAAATAGTAAATAATCTTGATTAACTTGTAATATATATGCAGCACTAAAAGAAAAAGGGAAGTTAGATGTGGTAAAATCATACTTGGGATGTGTTGGTATCTTCATTGTGAACAAAAGTGACAATCCAACCATCATCTTCTTCAACGCCTCCTTCTTGAGGAACAAAAGAAGCTCCAGTACAGAAGGTATTCTTCTCAAACATATGGTATTCCACTTTTATCGCCTCTTTAGATTCACTTTTAGTCTAGTTCACAGTATTCATAAAGTAAAAAGAAATCATATAATATTGCATGAAATAGAAGAAAAAAAAGTGATCAAAATAAATAATATTATGGAGGATATTTAGTACCGACGAATATCTTGTATCTAGTTGATCAAAATGTAGCTTTGCCAGGCCGCCAAATTTAAATATAGTACCTACATTGTTGATCAAATAGCATTTAAATTAATACCTATAGCCTTACTATGCTTGAAAAGAAGAGAAAAAGGGACAAACAATTGTTGATTTGTTTCCTTATATAAATCACCTGAAGTATAGCTCGACATATGATCAACAACTTGTGTGTAACCAAATTTGTTTCTAAGACCAGTAAAATTTGGATTGATTATTGGAAAATCCATAGAAAATTCTGCATCAGCAGTGAGATTCTTCTCCTTAAGTACTTGTCCCGTTCGCATGTTTAATCGCCATTCGTAAGGACGATGATGCAGTAAAGCATCTCCAGTAGAGATATCAGTTTTTGCCTCGCTAGCTACAACCGATTCAAGAGCTCTACAACCCCAGATCACAACCTGCTTTGTTATATATGTCAAGCACAAATGTTTGGATCATATTATCAGCATTTTTTTGGTTAAAATTCGCCATAATCAACTAGTAATTAATAATTTTGATCCTTTGAAAGAAAATCAATTAGGAATATAATTACTCTTAACACTAATCATGTTATAAGTGATTCATACCTCGTCATCGCCATCTTCAAAGCAATTAATAATGTGAAATGTGGCATTTGGTTCAACTTTAAACCATCTGATGGAATTTGCGTGACCATAGCGGGGCATAACCCCTATCCTTGCGTACCCTTCCTTGTTGTACTTTATTAATCTAGACATATATACCAACAAAATGATTTTGAAAGGTACATTATAACTTGTATAAACGAGCCACTAAATTAATGATGCAGACACAAAAATATAGAATTTTGCAAGGATTAAAGTGCTCACGGGCCTCCGCAGACAAGCCTTATAATGTCTATTGTAACTGGAAAATCCATGAACACGTTGTACCTACAAGCCAATGGTACATACAAATATATATGTTTTATGAGGTTTATTAATTTTCAACTAACTACTAAATATATAACAAATTACTAAGTTTGATAATAACTCAACATCGGTTTCTAGAATAATTAATTAATACTATAATATTTCTTCAATTGCTACTATCTGGTTATTTGGGGGGAAAATAATTGTTAGCTAGCTTTTACCTCTTTGTAACTCCAAAGTCATGGCAAAATGTACACCGATCGAGTTTGAAATCTGCTCTGTGAACTATTTTATTTCCATCAGCTGAAAAACTCATCGGATTTGGCAAATTAATTGAAATGTCTTGAAAGAATAATATCAATAACTGTATTCATTGTGTGACAAATGTTGGTTCTCAAAATCATAGAGCTTGTATTGCATAAATACCAGAAATTACTCCTATTTCAGAATAAGGTTTAATTGCATCCATCCCTATAATAACCAACTCTCCAGTGCCGGGAGCTTTCTGTAATATGTTAATTTATAAGAAAGAAAAGAAGGAAAACATTATAACTATAAAAAAAACTACGTAATTAAACATTAATATTGGTATCAAAGTGTGCTAGGGGAAAAATAACAATATTGTACCTTTGGATGGCTTGTAAAAGGTCTGTCCCAAGCTCGTGAGAGATTCCAATCGCCCAATGTTTTTAACGTAGAAATGTCGATCTCTTGAGGTATATGATTTTCTGCGATTGAATATAACTTCCCTGAATGCTCAAACACGTTGGTGTTGCTCATGTATTTGTTTACCATGCCAAACCTCCCCTAATAAAAGATGCATTAAAAGAAAATTACTTCTATTCATGAACGTGTGGATCTTTTATTGTCAAGTTTTTATATATATATATATATATATATATAATATATATAAGTGTGTGTAACGCACCAAATTCAGTAAATAAGCAAATAGAACAGCGGATGAATCGCCTCCAACAGTAGGAAGAAAAGAGGGTTTGTTTCTTCCTTTTTCTAACTTGAAAGTTTCGGTTTCAACGTATTTGTTGTTGTAGTGAACAATCCAATTGGAGTCATTTTTATTTTTGCTAAAATATAAAGCATGAAGCATTCCTTCTCCTTCCACCCAAATGTGGTTTGACTTCCCAAACATAGATTTTGTTGATTTTAGTCCTCCGAAAAGAGGATTTGGTCCTGCAACCACAACATCAGAATACCAATTATGTTAAAGCAAATACACTTACCATGAAAAAAAAGAAAAATCACCATCGTCTTTCTTCTTTTAGTTTTAATTTATATGTCTTTTCCATGGTAGTTCGAAGCTGTTAATTATTAATCTCTCTCCATCTAGTGTACGTGTACGAATTTTCTTTATAATTGTACGTGTACATTTTCTTTATTAATTCTTTTCCTTATTGTGATATATATATATTTATATATATGTATTTATATATATATTTATATATATATGAAACTGTCTCTGGTAGGTCATCCTACCGATAAGACCAGTTTTTTGACTTTTAAATTTGCTTAAAATCAAATGAGATTGAAAAAATACGTAAAACAGACAGTTTCTGATACAGATTTAACGGCCGAAAACGGTTAAAAAAAAAAAAGAAACTACCGGTCGTTTTATTTTTTTGGTCTTACGGGAGAAACTCCCTATATAGTACAACAAACACATAATGAACAAAGTCATAAGCGACAAACAATTATATCCGCATCTAATACATAGGTTTTAACTAAATTTCATACCATAATATTAAAATTTTTTGTCCTAAATCAACACCATTTTCTGCTTCAGTTTCGTCAATAAATGTAGATCTGACTTACAATAATCAATATTTTAGGTGTAGACGTACATTTAGAAATAAAAGAAACAAAAATAGAAACTTGGAATATTGATACCAACAAAACTGACCATTTCGTATGTAAACACCTTGGGGAAATTTATCAGGAATGTCCCCTTCAATGCTGGTGACAGCCACAGGCCCTCCTAACTCATCAACCGGCACATAGTTGCTCTGCAAGTAATTTATGTATTTAAATTACTTTGATATTATAAAAACTTTTGAATTTGTTTGAGATCATTAGAAAGCGTCAAAAACATTGTTGAGTGCTCGTAAGTACCTGAGATGGGAGCAATGGTTGATCAACAAATTCAAAGACCGAATCAACAAAAGCGTCCATCATTTTTGCCGAAGTGTTCTTCATGGTTTCGGAGATCGCTTCTATTCTAATCTCAGGAACAGCTTGTTGCAGTCGTCCCAACAATGGCTGCTCATCAATTTTTTTTTTTTTTTTTTTTTTTCATATCAAATATATATGTTAGAAATACAGAAGGGTTAATTAGTGCTAGCTAGTCATACATTTACGTCTACGTATACGTATACTTGTTATAATATTATAATGACAAAAGAAAAAATACACATGTGACCGTCCATCTTCTACAATTGATCAGTGATTTAATGGTTAGGAAAGCAGGAGTATCAGCGTCGAACCTTGACGGCGGAAGACAATGATGACTTGAAGCGCCCGTAGTTGTCGGGGATCGGCGGCCTCCCATGAATGGAGCAACTGGTCATATTCATTTGAAAGGCCATAGATGAGGAAGCCATCTCCCTCTCTATATGGTCTAGAACTCTCTCTTTCTTTGATCTTTGCTTTTGTTATTTGGAGATGTAATTGCCAAGAAAATGAAATTGGGATTACTAGTGCGTCACTAAGGCATAAACTACAGCTAGCATATTGAGTAATCTGCCATAACCTTGCATTTATATCCATTTATAGTACAAACCCTCCAAAGAGTTAAGCTCTAATCACTTTCAAAGAGTTTGTGGGGCCTACCGCTTGCGTTGGCCGATACAACTAAAAACCCGCACGAAGTTAGCGAGTTTGGGTTTATTATAAATGAGTTTGAGTCATAATTGGGTTGACACGATTAATAAATGGGTTAGGTTAGGATTGACCTCTTAACACGAGTTAAGCTCTAATCACTTTCAAAGAGTTTGTGGGGCCTACCGCTAGCGTTGGCCGATACAACTAAAAACCCGCACGAAGTTAGCGAGTTTGGGTTTATTATAAATGAGTTTGAGTCATAACTGGGTTGACACGATTAATAAATGGGTTAGGTTAGGATTGACCTCTTAACACGAAGTGCCATGAATGGACAGATTATACGGGTTGACACGATTAACACGATTAATAAATGAGTCGTGTTTAGGTTGATATTTTTGACACGTTTAATAAACAAGTCGTGTTTGAGTTAATGTTTTCTGACACAATTAATAAATGAATTGGTATAAATATAACTCACTAACACGAATTGCCACCCTTACTTACCGGCTACCGAATATGCATGCTAATAGCTATAGAGCACATGTGCTTAGGCAAATTAGAAAGTAAAAATTGCACCACTATGTAATGTTATTCTAAACTTGTGGCTGTTTATCACAAGAAAACTCAAAATATGACAAATTACATCCGATATTCAAAATAAATTGGCTAGCGGGAATCAATCTAGAAGCGAAATGGATGAAGCATTTGGTTATTTAATTTTATTCTTTTAAAAGAAAATTTTTCTGAGATTAGTTAATTGTGACGTGAGTCCCTAAAGCAAGATTATAGATCAAAAAATTTGAAGATTCTCCTTTTCAAAGTGGCATCTTTTCCTACTAAATACTGCCAAGTTGTTTGGAAGATGAGGGTGGAAATCTTTTATAAAAAATGATCTATTAGTATTTCTCTAATTTATTTTTTTATTTTTTCGAAAGAGACTGGTAATAGAGCAATAATCATAAGGTTTTTATCTTCTTAACCATATTTGCATTCCACTGAGGTTTACACATTCCATTCCATCATCACTAGAATAGTAATCTTCCTAATACATATTAGACAAAATGAGCTATCAACTCCTACTACTTTTTCTTTTTCTTTGGTATATACTTTCTTTTTCAAAAATTATGATATCTAAAAAAACAAATTATGACACAGAATATTATAAGCTTATTGGAGGTAAGAGCCAGCCGAAACAGATTAAGGCAGGCATCCTTTTCTAGTTCATGCTTTTTACAGGCATAACCATTAATCAGCATCTAAATCACATAATTAAGAAATAATCAGCCAAGAAAGAAAGGACGAGTATCTGAATACAATTTTTCGACATGAAGGGCCAACAGGGACCCCTTTGCATTACATTGATAATGATGTTTAAATAATGAAAGAAATCCAACAGATGGACAAGAATTTATTAAATCCAGCTGATAAATTTGGCAATGGTTGGGCCTAAAATTGACACCAAAAAGAACTCCCCATTTGAAATCTCTTGAAGTTAACTTTGATAGACATTCTAAATCACAAAGCTTTATAATACGCCGCACGCCCCCTCGTTCTACACAGTGAAATTAGTTGTCTACTTGAACAAGTTTAAACAATTAGACAAGAGATCATGTTAATTTAGTACCTTGTGTTAGAGCGAAATCGTATTCACGTTTTTGATAATTTTAAGTCGGTACTTTTACTTTTATTAAAAAAATCAAATTTTAATACTTTTAAACGGTTTTTTGGGGACATGAAATGTCGAATCCGTCCTTTTTTAGATTGGATACAAAAATTTCAGCTATCCATCTACCGTCTAAAAATATTGCATATATAATACAGATTTCTCGCTGAGGGATATTATGATATTCTGTTGAGGCATAAGTTACGTATATGTAAACTAATAAAATTTGAGCTTCAGAAAATAAGAATCAGGCAACATTGCTTATACTTAATGAAAAAGCGCGGAGTACTTAGTATCAAGAATGTAATGCAGCAACAACAACAATAAAAATAAGAATAACTGCAACCCTCAAACTTTAAAGTCGCCTATATTTTGCTCTGAATTTTAAACTAGTCCCATTTAAACCCTGTTATTAGAATTTCTGTTAAAAATAAATGAAAAAATGAAATAGTACGATGACTTAGCCTTTCTATTAGAATTTGTGTCAAAAACTAATAAAAACCCACATGATCACAATATTCCCCACTTTTCTCATCTGTTGGTAACATAAATTCTAATAAAAAGCAGTTAATGAAAGTAATTCATAACTTCAGAGACTAAGGGCTTGTTCTTTTACGGAGTTTAAGTTGGGGTGTCTTGAGTGTAGATCTTGAGTTGAGTTTGAATTATAACTTGAATTGAAGTTGTAACTTGAGTTTGTGTTTGATTGTATACATTTGAGTTATAGTCTGAAATGAAAATCTATTTGAAGTTGTGTTTGTTTATACTAAGACTTGAGTTGTGAATAGTAAACATAATTTTTCTCTTTTTTGAATTTATTTGATTTTCTGCAATTAAATATGAATACTTAGAATTATATATAAATAATTTTGAAAAATGGATAATCGGGTAATTTAAAAAATATATAAATAAAAGTGAATTATCCATAAGTAACAACAAGTTAAAAAATAAAGTAGCTCTTTTTTTATCATTTAAAAAATTTAAAATACCATAAAAATAAATACTAGAAGATCAGTTTTCATTATAATGGAGAGCAAAAGGACAACAATAAATACATTCCCCCTACTGGTAGGATGATAAATCATCGCCCTTCGATCTTGATCCAATGGCTGTGGTGAGTGAGCTAAAAAATAAGCCTCCACACATAGTAGCATAGACTAAACGATGGAGGAATAAAAAACCAATCTTGATCTCTGTCTTTGGCTTCCTCTGCTCCTCCTCCTCCTCCTCCTCCTCTGGCGCCATTGCTCCGACAATACTCTGGCTTCTAGCACGACAGCGACGACAGGGCGGCACGAGGGCGATTTGGAAGAGACACCGACGGCGACGACAACCGCAGGCATGAGCTCCATTGGGCGGAATCGGAGATTTGGGTGACGATGCAGTGGAGAGGGAGTTGATTGATGGGAGGAGTCCGCTGGATTGCTGTGCACTAGACGAGAAGAGAAGATCGGGACAGATCCTCGCCAGAGAGATCTCGCAGGTGGCGATGAGAACGCGGATCGCGTTGGGAGAGAGAGTTCACGGAGAAAGAGAGAGTTCGCGGTGAGAGAGAGGAGAAGCACATGAAGGGTCAGGAATCAAAATACTGTACAAGTGCATAGGAGTTGCTCGAGTAGGTGGGAGAGGATGAACTCGAAAATGGGTGAGTAACTCGAGTTCATTTTTTAGTTTAGTTTCAAGTAAGCCGACGCCGAACGCATACTTAGGCCAAATTCATCACTCGAGTGGGTCTTTCTCGAGTAAATGTAAGCAACTGAACAGGGACTAAGGTTGTTCATTTGGACTTTAACTCAAAAAAAAATTTGAACTCAAGTTACAATTTTATTTAAGTTCATGTTCTTTTGTAAAATTTGAGTTTTAACTTGAGTTTTAACTTGAGTTTGTGGCTAAAATATGAGTTCAAGTTTCCACCTTTAACTCAAGTTCCTAAACTCAAATTCAAATTAATGAACAATATTTTTTCTATTCTTAAAAATGTTATAACTTTTTCGTTTTAATTCCGATTGAGATGGTTTGTTTTCTATGCATTCACAGTGAAGAGACGAATAAAACCCCACCTATATACCCTATTAAAATTTTTCATCACCATTGAGTTTTTATTAAAATACTATCTAAATACAAATTCAAGTTTTGACCCACTTAAATACAAACTCAATTAGATTCTCAATTCAAACCATAACTCAAAATGTGCTCATCCAAACACATACTCAAATTAGAGTCTCAACTCAAATCATACTCAAATACACTTTAACTTAAATTAAGATCTGAACTCAAATCACCTTAACTCAAAAAATGCAAACGAACAAACTTTAAAAGTGTAAGAGTTTTTTAAAGCGTGAGTTTTTTAACAACAACAACAACAAGGAGGAGTACCTGCCATTGCACCCTGGGTTCACTTCCCACCTGCAATGAGCCTGCTGGAAGGACTGAGGGAACAGAGTTTGGGAAGATGAAATATGATCAGAAAGCCTTCATTTTCTCCTATTGTTAAATAAAAACAAGGTAAAATCAAAGTTTTAGGATTAATTGTAAAAATTCTCACCAAATTATGAGTTTTGTAACACTTTACTCCCGATTTTTAAAATATAACATCGTTCCCTCTAAACTATGAAACATTAACAAAAACGAGGCTCGTGTTAAGATTTCTAATAAAATGGACACATGTTGCACACATGGTGATTGTTGTTAAATAATTTAATACATGATTACTCTGCTACCCAACTCTTAATTTATATTTTTGGAAACATATTTTAATTTTCAGTTAATATGTAAAAAAAAATCAAACAATAAAATAAAATTTATAAATTTTTTATTTTACTCTTCTCATTAATTAAACACTAATATTTTTTTTGATAAAATTGGAAATTAATAATTTTTTTAATTTACAACATATTTTGAAAACAATTTTTTTAGAATTTGAAAACATTTCAAATAAATCACATTCCAAAAGATTTTGAGATTCTGATACAAAATAAATTTGAGATCCCAAATCTTCTGTAGATTAAAGAATCAGATCTTTTTTCCTTTGTAAAAAATAAAAATAAAAAAAAACCCTCATATTATGTACCCTCATATTATGTACCATGAGCAAATTTCCGTTAATAATTCTAATGG